CTAAATTATTCACACTTACAAAATACTATTTACTTGGTGGCATTTTTATGATTTTAAAACAATAACATTTTTGTTATTTTAAGTGTTTTTCAGGTATTTATTTTGCCCACAACACTATTCATCTCCCTCTTTAATGTGCATTGAATGGTTTTTTTTTTTTATAGTAATTTTGAGATTTTTTTCAAGTATTTTATAAAGTTTTGCTTATTTTATTCTTCCGTTCCTCATTTTTTTAACAAATTTTATTTTCATCCACAACTTTATTTATATTATAATTTGGTCTCAAGTTGCTCAAAGGAGAGAGAAACGAAGAGAGAGTAGGGAGGAAAGAGAGATCTATGTGTGAATTTTTAGAATATTGTTATTTGCTCTTAAAAAAATTATATAATTTATATGACAAATTCTTTTAATTTTAAATAATAGTAGCATGGTTATATATATATATATTCTCAATTTTTTTCTGAAAAATAATTTGCAAAATATATATAGATTTAATCTAAAGATTGAAAGTGTTTTTTTACTATAATTTGTCTTAGATTTTTTTGAAAAAAAAATTATAAGAAAACTTTTGAGTTAAGAATTCATGAATTTTTCAATTTTCTCATAAGTTTTTAGTCAAGAATTTGGATATATAAGAATAAATTATGTTCTTTTTAGCAAAAAAATTATGAAAGACATAATAAATAATTAGTTAAATATAATTTAAAAATAATAGTTTTTTTTTAACTTTTGATTTGATATATTTTAGTAGACGAGATAGTATAATACGTACCATCAAATTAAAATTATTTTTTAAAATAATTATACATGTTTTGTCCGATTCGTAGCATAATATGAATAAAAAACTAGTTCAATCCTAATACAAACTAAACCCTATATGCAAAACGTTGAGACATGTTAGCCTTCTCTTCCAACTTCGTTGCTCAATCAATCTAACTGGTGGTAGTTGATTTTTTTATCTAATAAAATATTTACACATATCAACCCATGCCTAGAAATATAATTTTCAAATAAAAAATCTTTTTATTTTTTAAAAATAATCAATCTTTTTCTAAAAATAAAAAAGAATAAAAAGAAATTAATTATTATTTAAAAATAAATAATAAATATTGTTTTTTATTTTTTATTTCTAGAGAATAATTAATTAATTTTATAATCACATTTAAAAATAATCAATATTTTTCTAAAAATAAAATAAAAATATTTTTTAAAAAATAATAATTAATTATTATTTCTTAAATAAGAAATCTTTTATTTTTCGAAAATAATCATTGTTCTAAAAATTAAAAATAATAAAAAGCAATTAATTATTATTTAAAAATAAAATATAAATAAAAGAAAAAAATAATTATTATTTCTTAATTCTTATTTTTAAAGAATAATTAATTAATTTTATTATTATTTTCTAAAAATAAATAAACATAAAATAAAAAAATAAAAAATTAATTGTTTTCTAATCAATCCTTTTGTCCTTTCTTAGTTTAAAGTTTCATTTTTAAATAGTAATTAATTAATTTTTAATTTTTTTATTTTTTTAAAAAAAATTATTATATTTTCAAAAATGAGTTGACAGATGCCAGCATCTAATTAGATAGACGTAATTCGATTAGCTCCGTTAAGTTAGTTAAGGTAGTTGAACGATGGAGTTAGATAGAAGGGAGAGCATGTCCCAACCTTTTGATTATAAATTTCGGATCGTACTAGATTGAAGTGAAGAGATTCGAATGGTCAGAAAATTAATAGAATAAGGTCACAGAATGATTTATTCGTAGTGTGAACTTATCTTGGTATGCTTAGAAGAAAGAATAAGAATATAGGGTGAGATTGATCTTTTTTGACGAGTGGTGGTCTCCAAAATTCCTAATCTCAGGCCCAAAGGGATAAGCTAGTGTGTGCATATTAATTTTTCTTTGCCTTAAAGTCACACTAGCTAGCATCCCATGGTTTTGCTGCTGTCACCTGTCCATCAAAGCCTGCAGATAAAGACGATTGCAGAACCTCCTAAAGCGATGGGAGATCCCAGATGCTTCCACAGCATTTTTTTTTTTGTCCTTTTTGTAATGGCTTGATAGATATCTCATTCAAAGCTCGATTCATTGGCCCCAAGTTTTTTCTCAGTGGCCCATTGCCCCTTATTGTTGTATAAAATTGCCTTTGGACATACACTGAACATGGAGCACATGAGTAATCCGTAATTTGAGGCATCAAAACCTTCATAAGTCAATGGATTAACACGCAATTATGGGACCCTAGTTCAATTTGATGGACATCTGAGAAGACACATGATTAATTTCCAAAGCAATTTGGATCACTGAATTGGAGGGTTACAATAATGCAGTTTTGTTATTTTTCACTACTGTTGCAGCATGTTTCTGGGCAGCAATTTAGGCCAGCTTCACAATTTTACTGTGGACATGCCTTAAAATTCAAAAGTAGTAGTAATTGAGCAACAATAATTGGATCGAATTCATTACCCCAATTGGAATTTCGTTCAATTTGGAAGAATTTAGTGGTCCCTTCAAATTTCAATCAATATATAGTGTTTTGAATGCCTCCATATGAATTGGCACAAGTTGGCTACAGTTTGATTCCCCCCCCCCCCCCCCTCTGAGAATGGCTGCATTTTGAATGGAAAATCCCTTACAGTCTTCTTTTCTTGCAGGAAGATTTGTTGGAACTTTCTCTTGATTTCTCATATTCTAAATGTGGGTAAATTACCTAATTAAATCACAAACTTTACGAGATTATGCAACATAACTATCAGCCTCGCCCCCAAAGTCTAATTCTCCCAAATCTTTATTGAGTCCATTTGTATTAAAGCAGTCTATTGGAACCAAAAACTAGACCGCTTGGTCAAGGAGAGGATGCTAAATTATTAAAGTACGAAAAAAAGGGGAAGAGATGATTTTTTTTGTAGAAAAAGAGAGTTGGCTAATTCAATACTACCGGCGTCTTAAAAGTTTGACCTTTATCACCAGTAAAATTCTTCAGCCTGTTATGCTTCTGTTTGCACAGTAGGTAGAACGTTATAAAACCAGATAAATGCTACTCCCTTGATGCCAAAATATCAGCCCAGTATGCTAAAAAAAGGAAGAAAATAATTATTTTTAAATTTCGAAATAAAATATTACAACTAATTGTAGAGAAATAAGCTTCAATCCATATGTAAAATGCAAAAATAATATTTTCATTGAATTGAAGATACAAATTATTAATTTTTTTTTAACGTACCAGACTTATAATAACATTATCAGGCGGAAGGAATATTGGTTTGGGGAGGTGGAAAACGAAAATCATCTCTCAAGAGATTTATATTCTTAACATTCAATAAGCTAATATTCTTCACTTCTAGCACGATTTCAATGAAATATCCCTATAACTTCCAATTTCTATTTTATTTGCCATTTCTTTTCTTAAAATTCAGCCTCCCTCTTCCAGTCCTAAAGGTGACTAGAATTTGAACATTACCGTGCACAAAGACAATGTGAATCTGTTCAAGACAAAAAATAAAATAAAATAAAATTTTGCACAAAAACATTGGGAATCACAAACACATGAAGTAAAACCAAAAACATCATCACATGCTCACCATAATCTACAGAAGATTAAAGGTAAAATAGAAGTAGATTGATATATTTAAAGACTGAAGCTTAATTACACCGACTGACCTAAAAATACAAACCAAACATAGAAACTCCTCCGTGGTCAAGCAAGGAAAAAAAGTACCAGCTAGACCAAAGATGGAGAGACACCTATACATATTAACAGCACATCTGCAAATGCCAAAAACTTCATTGCAGAAGATACTGAAAGACACCAAAAATAATCCTAAAAAAGAAAGAAAAAAAAAGGAAAAAAGATTACATAATTATGTTTAGGACTTAGATAGATGACCAGTCAATCTCGACTGATGGGTATTTCTCCAAACCAAAATTCTCAAACTCATACCACTGCGAAGACTCAGAGAAATCCAAGAAGGAAATCTCAGATTCTGGTGAAGAAGAACCAGCCAAAGACTCATCGGATGATGCTGGTGATGGTAATGGGATCTCCACCTTATAGTCCTCAACTCCAAAATTCTCAAACTCCCTTTTTATTTCACCTTTCAAAGAACAATCATCTACAATTTCTGTCTGCAAAGGAGCTGATACAGTCTTCTTTGAATCAGCAACGGAACTGGGCTCCCCTGTTTTCCCCTGTTTTTGCAAGCCCAAGCTTTGACAAATTGCTTGTAATTTTGCATCAACAGAGGAATGGAGAGGCTTGTAGTCACCAAATTCACCAGATACATGAGCTCCTTGGTGGCGAAGATGTGGAAAGTTAAGCCTGGCAAATTCTCCTCTCAGCTTAAAAGCAGCCTTATCATAAGCTAAAGCTGCCTCTTCAGCTGTGTCAAAAGTGCCAAGCCAGAGTCTTGTTCTGTTCTTTGGAAGTCTAATCTCGGCAACCCATTTTCCCCAATGTCTCTGCCTCACACCTCTATAAAGCTTTGTTGGCTTTTGAGGAGGAGAAACAGATTGTTTCATAGGGACAGGTTTTGGAGCCAAGAAGTTATTAGCCCTCTGGTTACGGACTGACTGTGATGTGGGAGCAAAATTTGCCATTTGCTGCTGCTGCGGTTGTTGTTGGAGGTGGATTTTGGCTTGGATTTGGAGGATTTGTGAAGGGGTAAGGTGGTTAAGCCCAATTGGACCTGTTTGCTCCAAACCCATTTGGTTGTAACCCGAGAACCCATTAGAAAACATCTGGGTGCTCGATGGAGAGCAAAAGGCAAGGTCCAAGTTGGGATGCGAAGTGATTGGGAGGTTATTATTGTAATAGCAAGATGGATAAGTAGAGAAAGAAGGAGAAGTTGAAGGCAATAGGGAAGAATAAGAAGTAGAAGTTGGTGATGGTGAAGCACTTTTCATAAAAGGTTCAAGTGCTTTCATGAGTTCTTCTCTACAAGGATCTGAAAAAACAGGTACTGTTGTGTTGTAGATATCTATAGCTGCTGCCATGACTGTGAATTAGTAATTGAAACAAAACTAAAGAGCTGGCAAAAATTACCAAGTTCTATAAACAAAAGAAGAAGAAAAAAACCAGATAAAAGAAGCGGTTTTTTTGCACAAAAACCAACCTCGAGGGACCAAAAACAAACCCTTCAAGTTGATGAAATTAAAAAAGCTAAGCAAAAAGAAGATAAAAATAAGAGCAAATGAAAATCAACCTGGATCTCTATTCTGAATCACCTGGCTTTCACCCTTTTCAAGGGTTTGCTTGTTTTCGTTCTAAAACAAAGATTTCAACTTTAAAATCATCAAAACAAAAGAAACAAACCCCAAATTAAATTTTCTTTGAAAGACAGACGATTGACAGAAAGGGATACAGAGAAACGGGATATCAGAGAGGGGGGATTGAATTGAAGAAGAGAAAAGATGATTTTTATTTATAAAAAAAACAAGCTGCAAAATTCAAGATTTTAGCACTCTTTTCTTCTGTGTGGCCTCACTTTCTTGTGTATTTGACACTCCTTGCGTTTCTACGTCTCTCCCTATCTCTATTTATATAAACCTCCAGCCCATGGTTTCCCCTTCGGTTTTCCAAATTTCTAACTCCTAACCACTCTTTTTTTTTTTTCTCTTTTTTTTTTTAATATTTTTTTACGATTTTATTACATAAGAAAGTAAGAAACCACAAAGGTTAGTCGTCAACTTCGAAGATACCTCAATTCGATGTAGAATATCCAATGGGTTAGTGACACGTAGGTGCATGTTGTCCTGGCATGTGTCTGTGAATGAATAGTGGCCTTACACGTGTTTGAGTTGGATTGGCAAGAATAGACATGAAAGACACATCGGTTATCTTGCTTTTTTGGAATTTTATGGAGTTTTGTCCTTGTTATTATTGCAGCCCGCTTTGCTCTGCACCTCTGCCGCATCAAATTTATCAAAAAATTTGTTGGCAGGGAGAGGACTTTGCATGTGTTTTGGTAATAACACAAAAATAAAAAAATCGTGGACCAAAATGAACATTTTGATATTGGGAAATTAATGTTTTGTCAAGAAATGCCTAATAAAGTTCCAAAAAGAAAACAAAAATGATAGATTATCTGAATCCTTTCATATGAAAATAGGTAGGCCACTCCTAATTCGATTTAGCTCTTACTGGTAATCAAAACCTTTAATTCTGGTTAAGTTACTAAGAAAACAAATTTATATTCTCCTTTCTTTTAGATTTTTTTTAATATGCAAATTATTATCAAAAAGCTAATAAATGCTCTTGGTATTTGTTGCATCTGGACTCATGACAGATAAATATTATAATTATTAAAATTATTATTTTCTTTGTCAATGAAAAATGAAATAGGCAGTTATGATTTTTAAAATCAAATAACTCTTTTTATTGTTCTTAATTTCACGAACCCTTTTTTATGTGACTTACGAGCGGTGTTTATTCTTTTACAATCAATGAAAATATTTAATATTTTACTGATTAAATTATAAATTAAAAACCATAAAAGATACTTTCAAAAAAAAAAAAAACAAAGAAAAAGCAAAGCACATAATTAAACTCTGATACAATTAATTTGTTTATGAAAAAATAAAAACTCTGATGCAACTTCGTGGAAAGTTAGATTCATCATTCTTATCTAAACTAACACATTCTAACATAGGACATTAAATATTTAACGTAAGTCATTATTACTAAATCCATTGTTAGATTATGATGGTTACATATGATCCGATAAGGAATCACATAGTAGAAAATGAGGTGGTTGGCTTGATTTGGTAGTGCGTGCTAAAGTTGAAAGTTTGTTGTTGCTTATTAAGCTAAGACTTATCTAATTAAAAAACAAAAAAAAAAAAAAAAAATTAGTTTGCTCCCTCTGTGGTCTCAGGTTCGAGCGCTGCCTCCCACATGCAGTGGCCACTGGCATCTTACATGGTCGATAATGTCAGGGCCCATGGGATTAGTCGGTTGACGCGAAAGCTGGCCGGATACCCATGTTAATCTAAAAAAAAACAAAAAAATTATGTTTGTGTTAATCTTATTAGCTTGTTATTTTAATATTTAATAAAAAAATATATAAATTAAAATTTTGTTAATTATATTAGCACGTAGAAATTTTTCGGTTAAAATTCTGTTTTTAATGTGTTTTTTTTTTACTGTCTACTGATAATAAAATTTTAACTAAAAAAATTAATATGTAATAATATAATTAAGAAAAATTTAATTTATGTATTTATTTTTGTCTAATATTAAAAGAACGTATAAATATAATTAAAAAATATATATATATATATATATTTTGGGTTAAATAAGCGTTAAGCCAATGAAAATATGATAAGAATAATATCCTAATAAACTTAACCATGATTAATAATTTAAGTTTAGATATAGAAACCATGGTTAAGGCATGGTAATTGGTGGAGTAGTCATCATGTGACCATAGACGACAAATTGGGAGACGGACAAGGTATCGTCAATTGCGGCGCCCTCTGCTTCCAACCAGAATTTTTAAGAGGATGGAAATGGAATTGGATTCTAGATTTTTGTGAAAGGCCAATTTGAATCTTTCACGCATATCTATGATCCATGTCTAGTTAGTGAAACCATAGTTGGTATTCTCTCTCTCTCTCTCAATTTTAAAACATCAATATATAATTGTTCTATTTTAAGACTATATTTTGTATGGAAGAAATGTTATTAGTAGAATTATCTGTGATACTTGAAAGGTTGATGTTGTATTTGGTTGTAAATATAAATTTTTTAAATCAGTATATTTCTAACTTTCCAATTTTTATTGATATAAATCTATAAAGAAATACTTAGTTTACTTCAGTCTCAATAAAATAAAAAAATATAAATTCATATCATCAATGTTTATATAATATATTGATATTAATGTTGCTTGTATCTCGCATAAATGCTAGTAATCAATACAAAATTATTTTCAAATTATTAATATTCCAAGGGGAGAAGCAAAAATGGGAGTCTACACGAGCATGCACCTTCTGCTTTCATTGGATGAATTATGAAAACAAAATAGTTTTAGATATATATATATATTTGAGCTAACCATGGTTAGTTTGTCAAGTCAAACGTTGAGAAATGAGAGGGATGTATGTGATGTGCGAAAAAGATTGGCTTTAAAGTTGCGTAAGATGTAAGCCAAAGGATCAAATTTGGTTCGTTAATGGTGTGGGACCATCGATAATGTACAATAGGGGCCTACGCTGACGATGCTACACGTCACTTCCTACGTGGACATCACTTAGAAGCCAAGCAAAGTAGCAAGTCCATCTCTCTCGTTGTTGTCAGAGTGCAATTTGGGATGGATGTGACGTGGCTCCACGGTTGCAAAATGCAAAGGCTTCCTTGACTTGACTCCTCAATAAATTAACTCTTAAAAAAAGACTGAAATTTTCCTTTTAACATTTTCTCTTTGCAAATGGTGGGTTACGGTTAGAATGATACAAAAAGAGAGCGTTTCTTTAGTTCAAATGATATTAGAATAAGCAAGGCTTAAAACATCAAATATCTTATTGTTTTCTTTTATTTGTCTTTTCTAGTTTTGAAATGTAATAACACAAAGGAGAAAGGGTCTATTGATAAATTTTGATCTTTAAAATCCATCAAAAGCTAAATATGATCCAATATCAATTTAATTTAAAAAGTTATAAGCATAAAAATTAATTTAAAAATAAAATTGTATCATTTACTGTCAATATTGTGTCATTTTATCGTTGAAGGAGTAGAGCTAGGAGCTAGTTTGCATTTTGTCGAGAAAAAAGAAGCTGGGAAAGTTCTATAATTTATTTCGAGGGAGGGGGAGTGCATGAACATGTCCTAAAGATACCAAAAAGAAAATGAATGTGAACGCATCGGGGAAGACGTGATAAGGGGTGAATTCCCATCTTCCCTTGATAGACGTGAGGATGATCCGCTTTAGATAGAAAAGAAAAGGTGTCATCTGGTGACGGCTATTTCTCACTTTTATCTCCACTGCAATCAATCCACCTCTCCGATCTCTCGTAAGCGACCTTTTTTGTTTTTTTAATGTTTTTTCCTCTTTTATAGATAAATTAATAATAATAATAATAATAATTTTTTTTACTATTCGTTTTACGATTAAAAAACATAAAAAACATATACCCTAACCTAAAATATTTTGTCCAACGGTTTCTCCGAAGGGGCACATAAAGTGGGTTCTTCATGTGATGCATTCCAAGTTCGAAGTTTGCCTATCAGTTGTCTAGATTCCTTAATATTTCTCAGTAGTTTTCCTCTTTTTTCAATTTACCAGGAGTCAGAATTTTATATATATATATATATATATAAGAAAACAGTCAAAATAAAGGTTTTCCTTTCATTATTTTCTTCAATTGTTGCCTCCTTTTATGCTTTAGTTTACTTTGAAACGTTGGAAGTATATTCGTGTATTTTTTATGAACTAAACCTGTCATTTAACTTTGTACAGAGAGAAAAAACCAAATTTGCCCCAAAATATTCGAATAACCTCCTTAGTCCAATTGTATTGTGACGGCACTCACAGCGGAATCCAGTTCAACTATAATATAGCTTTATCCTTACGACATGCATGTTCGGTACTGACGATCTGTGAAGAAAACTATTGGCGGCGAACCTGGATCTGTTCAAAGCTAATGACATATAAAATTTGACGTTTACATGCATATAATTGCATCAATATTTTCAACATTAGAGACCCAAATTATAACATTTCAAAGTTGAAAACCGAAATGTCTAACCTCTAGACAGGTAAAATGGGTCTGAATTCGGGTTATAATAAGCAACGTAAAAAATCTCACTATTTCGCACGACTTCTTTCTATTTTTCTCAAATCAAAATCATTAGATTTATATTTTTAAGCTCTCCTTGTCAAAATCTAAGAAAAATATTGCTATAAAATTCATTAAATACGTAGAAAACAAAGTTTGAGGGGGCCATACTATTCATGTTTGTATATATAATGTTTACAAAATTGAAAAGAATTGGA